TCACTAGTAAATATTAATTATCACGGCTGATATCGTAGTTTTTATATTTCGGACATGATTGTGAGTTCACATCGGCAAAGAGGGACAACAAGTGCATTCACAACACAAATTAATTTTATTTATTTTATTTTTATTTTTATTTTTTTTTTTATTGCAACAAAAAAATTGTTAAAAGCAATATTGTTAACAATATGTCAAATAATATCAATATTTAGCTAATGGCAATCAATTTGGCACAGCACACATAATTTTATTTTTATTGTATATCAGGGGGGGCTCATATACGAATGAGTTATCATGCTAAATATATTCTTTGGGTATACATATTAGCTGCAATATTCAAATTAAAATATTTACTGTTATAATTCGAACCAATAGATTGTTTCAATTTAAACTTATACATCTTAGCGTTTGCATGTAGTGACTATTTTGGATGAGCTAAAACATTATCAGTTTGGTCATGGTTATTTATATTAATTGGAAAATCTTTATTTAAAGTGAATAAAATAGTTTTCATGGTTATCGTGACACTGCTAGCAATTCACTCCCATGTTTCAATATAAATAAGGCAGAAATAACAAAAACATAAAAAATGGATGGAAAAACACTGTATTTTGGAAAATGTAATTTTTTTTTTTTAAATTCTCCTTTTGCACAAGATATTATCAATTTAATTGATGAACTCGTATTATACAGGAATATGATTGTCCGGATATTGTACATATCAGGAGTAATATCACACCATTCCCAAAATTGTTTCATATATATATTTTGCAATCCATTCATATTATATGTCATAATTAATATTGGACAAACTTTTGTGGTATTCATTGACAAGACAACAAGGGTATGTCAGCATTACAAGTGATGTACCATTATAATTCCATTGAATTTAAAGAGACTTGCTCAACAATTAAAGAGACTTGCCCAACAGTTATTCAATAATTTCAACTTCTTTTATTGAACAGCATTATTCGGTAATCATCGGCTATTGATCTTTTGTGTTTTGAATTCGAAGATTGGCATCTTGCATGTCTTGTGTTGATTCGTTTTCTTCAGAAAAAGCTGTGCTTGTTTTTCTTCTCTTATTGTTTGAGTTTTGATAATCCGAGTTTATTTTAAAAACCAGTTTATCAATTATTGCTTTGGCACCTTCAGAATTTATATGTATCAAATCTTTTTCATAAAGGCTTTCGTTTTTGTCTTTTGAAAATTGTTTCGGACAATCGATGAATTCGATTCTTCGTTGTTGAGTTACTTGTTTTAAGATATTATTAATTCTCACATGGCTTTGTTTTCTCTGTGGTACTACGGCCAAACAGTATATATTTGATGCTTTATCTATTGAAGCATCTATGGTTGCATTGAACTGTTTTTCAATCTCATAGTTTGTATCTTTCACATGATTTGTTCCAAAACTTAATATCAAGTTGTTTACAGAAAAGTTATTTCCTAAAATCCAATCAGTAGCATTTTTGAAAGTTCCTCCCTTCACATATTTTATTTTCAATTCTTCAATGTAATTTGCTTCTTTAATTCTTTCTACTTGAGAATCACCAACTATAATGGGTTTTCTCTCCATATCGGACCTGTTCATATCCTTTGGTTGTTGTTGAAGTTGTATTAAAGACTCAACAGCATCTATTTCCTTCTGAAGTAGATTTGAAGTTGGCTTTTCAAGCCTCATTTCAAGTTTCTCAACATTTGAATATTTTTTATTGGTTTTCTCATTATCTGCTATGTCTTCATAATTATCTTGTGACTTTTGTAGATTAATTAGATTCTCATTTTCACCATTTTCTTTTGACATTGCATTATTCGAATCATCTAAACCCTCTAAATTCTTCAGTTGTTGCGTACCTGTTTTTCATAATCTCTTCTTCGATTTCTTGTGCAACTCTTTGTTCTTGATGCTGCATTTGTGGTGTCTTGTATTTACAATTTTTGGTCAGATGTGGCATCCCTTTATCCCCACAAAACTGGCATAATTGCCTGTTTGGGCATTTTGTCGCTTGATGCGAATCGCTTTTACAGATGTAGCAGTATAATCCAATGATAATTGGTCTAGAACAGGGGTCACCAAACTTTTTTGACCGCGGGCCGGGTATGACTCAAATTGTGTTGAAACGGGCCGGATGAATATTTTTGTCAATGCAATACAATAAATTCACAAATGTTGGGAATATCGCAGAATATAGATCGAGAACATCCTAGGAAAAAAAATTAACAAGATTTCTATATCTAGACAACTATCTTGAGTTTAGCTGTTATCAAAACGTTGCTGTCATGAATTAGAAATGTTACAAAATCCGCGGCAAAAAATGTACGCATCACGTCTGCTAAGTACCGTTACGCCGTGTTGAAATACCGCTCATAAAAACGACTGCCTGCTGTAGCTTGGAATTCTATGAAATTTTGACATAATTTAGATAAAATAAACAACTATTATCTGGTATTTGAACTTTTTCATTAGCGCATTAATTTCCCAACATTCGACGCTTTTAAAAATTACGCTCCAGTTATACGTAGTGCAAATTATTGATATTGTCCATGGACACCAATAAAATGGGGCTCCCGAAGTATGCGAACCAAGATGGCGGACATCGGAATGTAATATGTGTACTAGGTTAGGGTTAGGCCATAATTTTAGGTATAAATACTACGGGAGGCTCTTGGCTAGTCTTCGAACTGATAATAGGACTAAAATAAGGAAATTGAAAAAAAATTATGGCCTAACCCTAACCTGTTACCCATTCTACGTTCCGATGTCCGCCATCTTGGTTCGCATACTTCGGGAGCACCAATAAAATTTATATGGACGTGTGTATTTCTTGTCTAACTTGATACTTACCAATTTTTATGAAGTTCGTACAATCAGAACATCGTTAATTATTACCCACAATGAACCACTGTCAAACTATCATGCACAACTCCAGCGTTCATTTGCGACGATCTTTCGGCGGTGTCAATGACCGTTGCCAGAATAAAATCCTGAAATTATCTCAATATACCATAGATGTGACGCACATCGAAAGATTAGTGATTGATATGTGTTATTTTTCCATATTTAGTACAGTTCTTATCAAAAAAGTAATACAATCATTATGGAAAAAATTGGCTGTCGGGCGGTACTAAAATTCCGATATCTCCGTTATTTCTTGACCGTTTATTCCAAACTTGGTATTGTTTTCTATTTTTACTCAGATCTTTCCACTGGAGCAGTTTTTATTTAAATCGGATGAACTTCAGTTTTTTTGTAACATACCTACATGAATATCCGCATTAAAGCAGTACAAAAGTTAGTGTGGCTTTTGAAATTGGAGCAGTACGCGAGGGATTACAGTACTGTTAGCACAAAATGCACATTCGACGTTTATTTTAGCACGAAAAACAAACAGTTTCGTCAAAAGCAAGCGCCACGAGTGTACAAGTGTATCGCAGAAAACGTTACGTACTGGTAGCATTCAAAGTCGCAAAAACGAAGTTTTGTTTACAACCACGACTGAAAATCTGTCAGGGTGACAAAAGTGTCTGAGCGGATGCGGAAAGGCCTATTATTACGTCACTTTTCTGCATCTTGCCGATTGGCCAATGTTACGAAATAAACAAGGACGACGATGCTCGTGAAAATCTTCCTTGGAAAAAAATTTAGCCACTTTTGCGTGTTATTGCGGACCGGATAAAATGACGCCGCGGGCCGGATAAAATGACGTCGCGGGCCGGATCCGGCCCGCGGGCCGTAGTTTGGTGACCCCTGGTCTAGAATCATATGACATTATAATTTCGCCACCACCCATATCGAATGGTATTTTCAGCTTCCTTGGAACATGTCTAGATAGTATTATTTCTATTTTCCTGATTCCATCAGAAATGCTATTGCTGTCTAAGGTTGTTCGAATATTTAAGCAATCTCCGAATGGTTGAAGCATGATTGATATTTCTGTATCAGATAGATCATATGGTGTTTGGCTCATGGACATATGAGTGATGTCATTTCTATAAATATTGGGGTATGTGATATAGACTTCATTTTCGTAATTGTAGGATATTCCTTCCTCCAACAGCTTTTTTACAGCTTTATCTTGACGTAGTGTGATAATCCACTTTTTTTGAATTTCATATACGCATGCAATATCTTTCTTCTCGATTTTATCAGAAATAATATGGATAACATCTTCTCTCTGTAACCAGGAATTGTTATTAAAGTGAACCACAATAGTATTTTGTCGTCTTTTGTTATTAGGATGTGCCTCAGGATTTCTGTTATTTATCTCGATGCCCATAGTTTTATTTCCATCTTCTTCTTTGTCTGTCATTTTAGATGTTAACTTTCTTTTTATTTATCATTTGATTTATTGTTATAAAACCGAACACTTGTCAAACAGCATAAACTTAATCAAACTTAAGCTTAATCAAACAGCAACAGCACGCCGCACCGTACGGCTTCAGAACTTTACACCTTATTTAAATTATGATTGCAATTCGATTGCAATTCGAAGCCGCACGGCTGCACACCTTCCGTGAACTAGCGGTGGAAATCAAGCATGGTACATGGTACAATAAAATTATGATTTCTATCTTCTGTGTAGGATTACTATCACAGTTTGTAAATTACGGTCCCAATTTTAGGCGAACAATACCATCATTGTTGACCCCGGGGTGCGATCTTTTCGAAGCGGATAGTTGGACATTTTTATGCGTTTAATTTTAGATCGTGTCGGTGTTACTTTCGTGTTAAATAATAATTAAAGAACTTCGCAAATTGGTAATCACTACAATACTTACTGTTGAATGTTCACGTAACTCAACTTTGTTAAAACACTTTTTTATTGATACCAACCGCATGAATAAATCCGCAATAATGGCATTTCTACGTGGTCAAAATAATATCGATTATGTATTTTTAATATAAGCTTACCTTTGCTTTACCTCTGTTGATAAGCATTTTTTGTGATTTGTAACTCCAAAACTTGATAATGAAATTATATATTTATTTTCAGTTTTCCAAATCACTGCTTGAAAGAGTCGTTGCATCAAACGGACATTGTTATTAGTCTGGTGCCTCACGGAGTGATATGGAAGCCTATATAGTGCAAAGAGTAAAGAGCAAGTATGAAATCTTATAAATCTTTTAATTCATATTTTGTCAGGTATAAACTGATATATCATGTTAAATCCCGCTAGTCAGGAAGAACTGCAAATATTTGAATTATCCTCACAAGATGTCCATAATATTCCGCCCAATTTTATTTATATAATTTTGTCATATATAATATATAATAAGTCATATAATGCAATGGTTTCCACCCGCTAGTTCACGGAAGGTGTGCAGTTTTTAGCTGGTATGCAATAAATGTTTCTGCTCTGTTAATTTTGTATGCACAATTCCCGAAAAGACGCGGGTTATGTTTCTTTTCGGGCGTTCTCCCATCGTTTGACAAGTATCGAAGTATGTGGCAGTCCGCCAGCAATGGGGTTATAATACTGGTAATGGGGCAATTGCGGCTGCATTATTACAATTGGTCGGGCCTCATTTTATAGTATTTATTGTATTCGTACTTTATGGGTTTATTTCGTTGCCATAGCGTTTTGTTAGTTTTTCAATAGTCTAGCTAGAAGAGTAGTTTTTAACCAGGGTTCAATCGACTTTTTGTTTTTTGTTGGGGTAACAGGAATTCGACGAGGTTCCTTTAAATTAAAACAGTTTTCTATTATAGGAATTTCTATCACATCGTCTATTAATTATGCAAATTTAACTACAGTTCATCTCAGATATTTAAACTTACACGTTCAGCAACTTATAAATTAGCGTTGCCCTTTTGATGCTTTCTGCTTATGACTTCGAAACATCTTCGATTGCTATGGCAAACCAAGGATTTTCAACCTGAATCTTTTCATTTTTTTTAACCTTGCATGAAATTATGCTTCCCCTTTATAAAGTTCTAATTGGGCTCCTAATTTCAACCATCTGGTACAATGGGGTTTGGCGGGAGCTTACAGGATATCGCAGAGGTTCGACAGGCTCGTTAGGGTTTAGAATTTGGAAAATCTACGGTGTATTATTTTATTTGATGTTGCCATATCACTAGAGCAGACAGGTACGAATAGATTTGTTTAAATATATATCCAATTCATATCTAATTTATCAACTTACATTTTCGGTCATTCATAAACCCAAAACTTGACATAGTTCATATAGTTCACATAATGTCATAGTTTGAAAAATTATTGGTACATTCAAATTTTAACCCCCAAGCCGAAATTAGATCGAAATAATTAAATATTTTTCTGAAATCAATCATTTTCCGTAAAATTTACCATCTTCGAATACCATATTGTGCCACCGCAAGTTTTTGTTGAATTAAGTTTTTGGACACGTCAGTGTACATAACGATCGTTTCAATATTATGTTGTTGTTTTTGTTAGTATTCTTCTCTTTCGTCATGATGAAATCGCTTCTCCTTTCGAATACTGGACCAATTGCTTTGAAATTTTCAGTGGTTAAAGATTGATTTTTTTGCCAGAAGGCTATTACTTGACCTCAAAGATTCGCGTTTTTTATGTGTCAGAATACAAAATAGCGACACCTAGTGACGTGTCCATATATTTGAGCACAGCTCTCTTGTTCATATTAGTCCTCGATTTAATGGAATATTCAAATATTTCCCCGCTAGATCGGATAAGTTCGGAATAATTCAATATTTTTGAAAAAACTTATAGTGCAATATACCAATTATCTAAGTATATTACCACAGTTGTGAATGTTTCTTTGAAAAATGAGAGATTTGATTTGAAATTAATGCTTCCATTGAATTGAATTTAAATCCGTCGTTAACTTAAAGCTTTAAAATAACAAATTAGTGGTTGTCCAGCTTGGGTTAGGTTTCGGGTTAGGAGAAATTAAAAAATTTGAAATCTGCATTCGGGGGTGTTTTTTGAAATAAATGCTTTCGTTGAATTGAATTTAAATCTGTTGTTAACTTAAATGCCCAACCCAGATTTGTGTTTGGTAAATTTTTATTTAAATACAAAAAATTCTGATAAATAATAATTTATTTCTAAGTCAGTGTCGCGTAAATGTCTTAGCCGTACAAAAGTACATTTGTGAATGCTAAATGATGTGAATTGTTTTTTACTTCGAGTAAAACAGTAAAGATGCAAAGTAAGAATGTTAAGCTAAATAGTGGGGAAATGAAAGAAAACGTATTAACAAAAAAGCGCTGGATGTTTCCACGAATTTAAGAAAGAAATGAAATGGTCACTTCTAATTCTCCGATGAAGCGTAATAAATTGGTAGATTCGAAAGCACGCACCATGAGGACTTTTTATTAAATTTTCAGAATTTTCTGATTTTGTCGCAACGACACTGATCAGTTTGTTCTTCATTAGAGATTGCGAATACTTTAGAATAGTTCTGTTTCATTAGCTGAATTGTTATTTATCCGACGCTGACACTGAATATTCATAGTTTCCAATGTTGAAATGGTTTATTTTTGAACAAAAAGTTAAAATGTTTTAAGCAAGCTGACAAGCTAGAAAAATCTTAGTTACACTGCACGCATGCCAGGTCATATTTATTAATCCCTCGCTCAATCGTATGTTTTTGCTAATAAGTGCTAATACAATACAATACAGCAATAATCGCGAAAGTCGTTCAGGTTCATTCGTGGGCCGTTTTCCGGAGTTCCTAACATTTCAAATTTTTCATTTTGTCAAGGCTAGTTTTTTATTTCACATTTTGTTTAGTTTCTGTACAACACATTTCATATAGTTTATGATTGTTATCAAATTGCTGTGTTTGATTATTGCTCGATCTGTTTATCCTCGGTTTGTGCGTTTGATATTCCAACGGTTGTTGTTCCAACTCCTTCTCAGAAGGTGCACTCTGGCTGTCGGGTATCCAATGTAGTAAAAAAAAGGATTTCTTGTGATTGGTTGCTAAATCTGTTGTAGGCTGCACTGTTGTATACTTGACGCTTACATTGGATATTCATATTTTCCAGCGCATAGAAAACAGTCCCAAACACAAGGCTGAAAATATCCAATTTACATTGCACACATGCCGAGTCATATTATTTGAGCCTTCGCTTAATCGTTTGTTCTTCTACTTTAGCTGATCCTCTGATAATGAGTGGAAATTTATAAACTCTTTTCCTCCCTTAACTTGCTTCTAATTTTAAAGATGGAGAGTGTTAGAATATATATTAGGATAAAACACGTCCAATCAACTGTTGCGCTTGTTGGATGTAATTGTTACAAATGCGGATTCTACTGGCTTTCATGTAGGTACATCCTAAAACTCCTATTTGTAGTGCGATTGTTTTAAAATCATATTCTAAACTATGTTAACGTGACTATAAATATTAAAGAAAACAAATCTCCCAAATCAAATAAACCCTCTTTGGGTTTAGTACAAAATATAGAACGCCGTTTACAATATAAAGAGGAAAATATGGGATACCTGTAAAGAAGAAAAATGTCGGTCCATTACATACTTCTACGAACATTTGTTTCTGTAGTTCTTTGCGTTTCATACTTTTTCATTTTTGTTGTTGTCGAGACTTTATGATAGTTTTTGACTTACAGTTTTTTTGCTCTTGGTTTAAAAAAAGAACATATAATTTTAGTGTGAATTTTTACACGCATTTTCTACTTGTTCTACTTGTTTCTACTACACGTCCAAATATTAACTGAGGACAGCTAAACTAACCCAATATGATATGTTCATTTTGCAATAATATTGTCTGCCTTGAATAGTGATTTTTTAACAAATGTTCATATTACTATCGTGTATTATTTACTAGTTTTATTTTATCATTAATTGCGGTATATTGACTTTTCATTTTTTCAATTTCGGTTTGGAATGCTTGAAATGAGTGTTTTACCTTCTGCTTAAAACAAACATCAATGTCGTTATACATGCAGTCAGTGCTGGTCAAAACTAATATAAAAGGCTTTCGGTAAAAGGTATCGGTAATATCGGCAATATTTTGGTATCGGTATTCGTATCGATATCGGCTAAATGTAGACTGATATTTTCAAAATAATTAACTTTTAATCTATTCCTGAATGTTTTAAAAAGTAGGTTGAAATACTGATATAAAAATTATTTTTTGCTTGGATTGGTCGTGTTCGTGGAATTAGCCTCGTTAGGTAGGAGCAATGCTGTTTCCCAACCGCGCGAATAGAAACGGGAATATGATTATGAACTGATTTTAGCCATTTATCAGCCCAACTAGCTCAACTAATTTGGCTATTTTTGCAACCTATTTTTTATATTGACAATTTTAACATTTCATGGAAATTATGAAGAAATATATTGAATGTGAATTTTTCGATGTGCAAAATACAAAATACGACGTTGGCATGGCATAAAATTCTGCGCACACAACTCGATTTATCAGTTGGATAGATTGAGTGAACATTTATTTATTTTACCACCTACAGTAGCCAAACCCGATGAGTTTTCTAACCGAACACCGATATAATTAACATCAGTGTGCAATGTATTTAAATCAAAAAACGTAGCAGGATCCAAAACATTAATTTCTTTTTATCTGAAATATGGCTTTTTCAAATTTGAAAAATTGTGTGGCATGAATAATGCTTGCAAACTGTTACTTTAACTTGTTTGGACTGAACACCTGAGATAATAATTACATAGCATGTAAATGTCGGCAATTTCTGCTTTAAAATATTAATATCGTCGTTTTATCGTTGTTGTCGGATTGGTATCGGCGACAAAAGGTATCGGTACATCTCTTAGTTGGAATCTCTAGTATAATGTAATGGACGTTAATGTATTGTTTAAAATAGATATACACTTCATGCGTTATTGTATCAAATAATATGTTGTAAAACAATGTACTCTTTTACTGCAAACCTCGTATGATATCAAATACCATCTTTTTAAGCCATCTCAAGCATGTAATAGTATGTTACACATACTACTACTAAGATTTATTTCCTCAGCAACAGACAAAGTTTAATTGTTTTCTTCCGTATATATATTTGACCCGGGGTTATTTCAAAAGTTATCGGGCGTTGTACTTTCGGTGAATGACCGCTCATAGACTTCTCTCTTTAAGGCAATTCATCTTCTGTTCGTGGGGAGAAAAGAGGCATGTTGACTTCAACAAAATCTTGTATCGGTTTGTCTCCTCATATTCTTGTTTGTTTATAGTTATTTCGGATCATTGCAGGTCGGCTATTTAAAAGTTAATTCGCATTGGAAGTTTGTCGTTCAAGTAGTGTTAATTTAATTGCTGTAATAATCGGATTGTTTGCTTGTTTTATATTTTGGTTAAATGATAGGGTTTATTCAAATTGCATAAATTAATGTTGCTATTGTTTGCATCTTTTGGAATTAAGTATGTTGTAGACATACTTAGGTTGGTCGTAAACTTTAGCAACCCAATACATTATGACCGAGTATGACAGATGTCCCAATATATTGGCTTATGTGAAAAGTAGGGTTAATTGTTTTGGCTTCTACATTATGCGTTTCGACCTCTACAATAATCATTTTTATCAGCACACTATTTGACGTTTTTCATCACATATTATTCGTTTCTCGTACTTTGGTTCATGTAGACTGGATATTTCATTGCCAGTAACAGACTTCAATCATATTCAAAGATGTGGAGTTGTTAATATCGAGAAAACTGGCAGGTTATAAGTCTTAAGGGAGTTGATGTCGCGCAGTGTCACCGCCCAACACGTTATAGGCGTCTTGTAGAGCCTCATCATACGTAATAAGTTGCTCATAATTTACTTCCTCTACTATGAAAGGACATAATACCTAAATGTATATATATTTTCACAGGATTCTTCAATTATGGAACTTGACGAATCTTTCTGTTTTTCAAAAAAAATACAACTCAATTATTTGAATAAAAAGAAGAGTTTTATTAAACATAACTGAGATGTGCTAGCCAACAAATGCATCGAGTCCACACACAAGACTTTGATATAGAAAAATAGACTGATGTTTGAGACTGTATTTCATTGCCATACGTACTTTAAGCTCGTATATATGTGCACTGATTACTAATATGTGATCGCAAACAAATGCATTGGGCAGCACATACACATGTCTTTTATATCAAATAAGACTGTTGTTTAAAACTATACCAAAATGTCATACACACTGTAAAAGAATTATATGCGGAAGTTTAACATGGGTCGACCCGTGAGGAACTAACTATTTATGTAATTTGAATAATTGCAAACGGATTTTTGATTGTATATTTATTAATGAATTGAATCATAGCTCAGAAAACTAAATACAATTGTTATTTGTATTCTAACACCCTGCAATGCAATCCTGTTTGATGTCCTGTTATGATAAGTTTAAAATGATTCTTTCGTTTTACGTTATTTATATTTTTATACTTATTGTTATTACTATTTATTAATTATATTGTCGTTTATTACTGATATTGTATATTTTTTAATAAGCTTTTTTTTGTAATATGCTGTTTCCATATTTAGCTATCTTATTTGTCATATTCATTATTTCCTATTGTATTTTTGGAGATATTTTCAACAGAAAAACAAGATATCGTGACAACGACAAAGGAAGAAAAGTATTAACAGGGCTTGCCATCTATAGTGTTCATTTTGATTTTAGTCGATATAATACTTTTTTGAATTATTTAATACTGATACATAATGCAAGAAGTACTATGTTTATTGCTGATATTGAATATTTAATATTATTTAATAAAGCTTTTTCGTAATATGCTGTATCAATATTTTCCTATCTGTGTTTGTCATAATCGTTAATTTCTCTTCTATTTTAAGATATTTTCAACAGGAACCAGGATATCGTGGCACTGACAAAAGAAGAAAAGTATTAACAGGGGTTGCCATGGCTTTTTTGTTTTTAATATTTTATTTGGTATAGATAGATTTAGGACCCATTCCCGCCATTAGGAATAATAGGGTTTTTATTAGGCTTAGATATTTTTAATGGTATTCTAGATTCTCAGGCAAAGAATTATGAAGGCAATAGGGGAAATTAGGAAAGACTGATACAAGGAAACAATGAAGAAAATAGGAAAGACTGATACAAAGGAAAATCTACAAATTGAATGTAAATATTCTTACAAATTTATTAGGCTTAGATATTGTTAATGTTATCTAAGCTTCACAGGCACAAAATTTTGAAGACACATGAAGAAATTAAAAGAAGACGAAATCAGAGACAAATCTGAAATTCCCGGTAAGTATGTTGCAAGTGTTTCATTAGTCAGGCTTTACTCCTATCTAGTGTTTTCATTTTGATTTTAGTTCGATATAATACTTTTTTGATTATATTAATACTGATACAGTAATGCACAGAAGTACTATGTTCATGCTGATATTGAATATTAATATATTTAATAAAGCTTTTTTCGTAATATGCTGTATCCATATTTTCCTATCTGTGTTTGTCATAATCAATTAATTTCTCTCTATTTTTAAGATATTTTCAACAGGAACCAGGATAATCGTCCACACCGACAAAAGAAGAAAAGTATTAACAGGGTTGCCATGGCTTTTTTGTTTTTAATATTTTATTTGGTATAGATAGATTTAGACCCATTCCCGCCATTAGGAATAATAGGGTTTTTATTAGGCTTAGATATTTTAATGGTATTCTAGATTCTCAGGCAAGAATTATGAAGGCCAATAGGGGAATTAGGAAAAGACTGATACAAGGAAACAATGAAGAAAATAGGAAAAGACTGATACAAGGAAAATCTACAAATTGAATGTAAATATTCTTACAATTTTATTAGGCTTAGATATTGTTAATGTTATCTAAGCTTCACAGGCACAAATTTTGAAGACACTGAAGAAATTAAAAGAAGACGAAAATCAGAGACAAATCTGAAATTCCGGTAAGTATGTTGCAAGTGTTTCATTAGTCAGGCTACTCCTATCTAGTGTTCATTTTGATTTTAGTTGATATAATATTTTTTTGATTATATTAATACTGATACAATAATGCACGAAGTATTATGTTTATTGCTGATATTGAATATTTAATAAATTAATAAAGCTTTTTTAGTAATATGCTCTATCCATATTTTCCTATCTGTGTTTGTCATAATCATTAATTTCTCTTCTATTTTAAGATATTTTCAACAGGAACCAGGATATCGTGACACCGACAAAAGAAGAAAAGTATTAACAGGGTTGCCATGGCTTTTTTGTTTTTAATATTTTATTTGGTATAGATAGATTTAGACCCATTCCCGCCATTAGGAATAATAGGGTTTTTATTAGGCTTAGATACTTTTAATGTTATTCTAGCTTCTCAGGCACAGAACTATGAAGGGACTGAGAAAATTAGGAAAAGACGGATGCAAGGAAAATCTACAAATTACATGTAAATATTTTTACGAATTTTATTAGGCTTAGATATTGTTATTATTATCTTAGCTTCTCAGGCACAGAATTTTGAAGGCACTGGAGAAATTGAAAAAAGACGAATCAGAGACAAATCTGAAATTCCGGTAAGTATGTTGCAAGTGTTTCATTAGTCAGGCTTACTCCTATCTAGTGTTCATTTTGATTTTAGTTCGATATAATACTTTTTTGATTATATTAATACTGATACAGTAATGCACGAAGTACTATGTTCATTGCTGATATTGAATATTTAATATTATTTAATAAAGCTTTTTTCGTAATATGCTGTATCCATATTTTCCTATCTGTGTTTGTCATAATCATAATTTCTCTTCTATTTTTAAGATATTTTCAACAGGAACCAGGATATCGTGACACCGACAAAGAAGAAAAGTATTAACAGGGCTTGCCATGGCTTTTTTGTTTTTAATATTTTATTTGTTATAGATAAATTTAGACCCATTCCCGCCATTAGGAATAATAGGGATTTTATTAGGCTTAGATATTTTAATGTATTCTAGCTTCTCAGGCAAAGAATTATGAAGGCAGGAACTGAGGAAAATTAGGAAAAAGACGGATGCAAGGAAAATCTACAAATTACATGTAAATATTTTACAAATTTTATTAGGCTTAGATATTGTTATTATATCTTAGCTTCTCAGGCTCAAAATTTTGAAGGCACTGGAGAAATTGAAAAAAGACGAAATCAGAGACAAATCTGAAATTCCGGTAAGTATGTTGCAAGTGTTTCATTAGTCAGGCTTACTCCTAATCTAGTGTTCATTTTGATTTTAGTTCGATATAATACTTTTTTGATTATATTAATACTGATACAGTAATGCACGAAGTACTATGTTCATTGCTGATATTGAATATTTAATATTATTTAATAAAGCTTTTTTCGTAATATGCTGTATCCATATTTTCCTATCTGTGTTTGTCATAATCAATAATTTCTCTTCTATTTTTAAGATATTTTCAACAGGAACCAGGATATCGTCACACCGACAAAAGAAGAAAAGTATTAACAGGGTTGCCATGGCTTTTTTGTTTTTATATTTTATTTGGTATAGATAGATTTAGACCCATTCCCGCCATTAGGAATAATAGGGTTTTTATTAGGCTTAGATATTTTTAATGGTATTCTAGATTCTCAGGCAAAGAATTATGAAGGCAATAGGGAAATTAGGAAAAGACTGATACAAGGAAACAATGAAGAAAATAGGAAAAGACTGATACAAGGAAAATCTACAAATTGAATGTAAATATTCTTACAAATTTTATTAGGCTTAGATATTGTTAATGTTATCTAAGCTTCACAGGCACAAAATTTTGAAGACACTGAAGAAAAAAAGAAGACGAAATCAGAGACAAATCTGAAATTCCGGTAAGTATGTTGCAAGTGTTTCATTAGTCAGGCTTACTCCTATCTAGTGTTCATTTTGATTTTAGTTCGATATAATACTTTTTTTGATTATATTAATACTGATACAGTAATGCACGAAGTACTATGTTCATGCTGATATTGAATATTAATATTATTAATAAAGCTTTTTTCGTAATATGCTGTATCCATATTTTCCTATCTGTGTTTGTCATAATCAATTAATTTCTCTTCTATTTTTAAGATATTTTCAACAGGAACCAGGATATCGTCACACCGACAAAAGAAGAAAAGTATTAACAGGGTTGCCATGGCTTTTTTGTTTTTAATATTTTATTTGGTATAGATAGATTTAGACCCATTCCCCGCCATTAGGAATAATAGGGTTTTTATTAGGCTTAGATATTTTTAATGGTATTCTAGATTCTCAGGCAAAGAATTATGAAGGCAATAGGGAAATTAGGAAAAGACTGATACAAGGAAACAATGAAGAAAATAGGAAAAGACTGATACAAGGAAAATCTACAAATTGAATGTAAATATTCTTACAAATTTTATTAGGCTTAGATATTGTTAATGTTATCTAAGCTTCACAGGCACAAAATTTTGAAGACACTGAAGAAATTAAAAGAAGACGAAATCAGAGACAAATCTGAAATTCCGGTAAGTATATTACAAGTGTTTCATTAGTCAGGTTTACTCGTTCATTTTGATTTTAGTTTGATATAATATTTTTTTGATTATATTAATACTGATACAGTAATGCAAGAAGCACTATGTTTATTGCTGATATTGAATATTTAATATTATTTAATAAAGCTTTTTTCGTAATATGCTGTATCCATATTTTCCTATCTGTTTTTGTCATAATCATTAATTTCTCTTCTACTTTTAAGATATTTTCAACAGGAACCAGGATATCGTGACACCGACAAATGAAGAAAAGTATTAACAGGGTTGCCATGGCTTTTTTGTTTTTAATATTTTATTTGGTATAGATAGATTTAGACCCATTCCCGCCATTAGGAATAATAGGGTTTTTATTAGGCTGAGATACTTTTAATGTTATTCTAGCTTCTCAGGCACAGAACTATGAAGGGACTGAGAAAATGAGAAAAAGACGGATGCAAGGAAAATCTACAAATTACATGTAAATATTTTACGAATTTATTTAGGCTTAGATATTGTTAATATTATCTTAGCTTCTCAGGCACAGAATTTTGAAGGCACTGGAGAAATTGAAAAAAAGACGGAATCAGAGACAAATCTGAAATTCCGGTAAGTATGTTACAAGTGTTTCATTAGTCAGGCTTACTCCTATCTAGTGTTCATTTTGATTTTAGTTCGATATAATATTTTTTTGATTATATTAATACTGATACAGTAATGCACGAAGTATTATGTTCATTGCTGATATTGAATATTTAATAATAAAGCTTTTTTAGTAATATGCTCTATCCATATTTGCCTATCTTATTTGTCTTA